GTGGTTGAACAAGTTTACATTCCCACCAACAATGAAGTAAGGTTCCTTTCTGTCCACATCCCCTCCAGCATCTGTTGTTGTTAGAGTTCTTGATTATAGCCATTCTAACTGGAGTGATTTAGTATCTCAATGTTGTTTTGATTTGCATTTCTTTTATGGCTAGGGATGTTGAACATTTCTTCATGTGTTTATTGGCCATCACACCTATAATTCTAACCACTCTGGAGAATGGGATCTGAGGATGGAAGTGTGAAGCCAGTCCAGGCAGAAAAGTCCGTAAAACTGTTATCTCCAATCAACCACCAAAACAACTGGAAGTAGAACTCAAAAGAGAGAGTGCTAGCCTTGAGCACAAAAGCTAAGGGACAGTGTCCAGGCCCTGAGTTCAAGCACCACAACCAACAAAAAACATTTTTTTTGGGGGGGGTCCGGTCGTGGGGCCTGAACTCTGGGCCTGGGCGCTGTCCCTCAGCTCTTCAGCTCACAGCGCCACTTCTGGCTTTTTTCTTTTTTGCTTATGTGGTGCTGAGGAATCAAACCCAGGGCCTCAGGCATGCAAGGCAAGTGCTCTACCACTGAGCCACCTTCCCAGCCCCCAACAAAAAACATTAAAAAAAGAAATGTAATGCAAAACATATGTGTATTCATAAAAAAGGTTACTTGCCAACAAAATGGGTTGAACTGTGAATGTCTAATTGCCCATTTTCTTCTTTTCTATCTTAATTTCTGGAAGATACACCTTACATCACTTGTCAATTATGTTTTTAAGTTTTGAACTGCTTCCCAAAGAAAAGTAGGGAACTTAGAAATTGGGGAGGGGGTTCCATCACTCCAATATTACTTCAAGCAGGAGAAAAACTAAAGAGGGAAACTGGTGCATAGCATTTAGATGTGCAAAATCAGTGTAGATGACGTGGACCACACTGTGGGTCCAATAACTGATGGGTTAAAGTATAAAGCAGCGGCAGACCCAGGCAGGAGGGAGATTGTAGTTTCTGGATCCAGAATGCCTACAACTTATCTTTGGCCCTCCAACAAGCCGCCTGACACCTCTATGTTCAGTCCCATCTATAATGGGAAGGTGATCAGAGTTTCTTCCTCACAGGCTTGAGTGCATTAAATGTGTTAATATTTTTAATTTCTAAAATGGTACCCAGCCTGTTGTAAATGCTATCTATGTATTTGTTCAGTAGAAAATAAAACAGTAACAAAAGTACTAGATGGGTATACTCAGAGATATGCAATGCAATGGGAAAGTATTACATATACTCCAAATAGGGGATCTTCTTTTTCCCCCATGATTAAAAAAATGTTATAGAGGATGTACAGAGGAATTACAGTTATATAAGTCAGGTAATGTGTAAATGAGTACATTTCTTTTGGGACAATATCCCCCCCTCCTTCCCTTGGGATTTTCTTTTCTCTTTTTTTCTTCTTTCTTTTTTTTTTTTTAAATTCTGTTATGGAGCTGGAACTCAGGGCCTGGGCACTGTTCCTAAGCTTTTTTGCTCAAAGCTAGCACGCTACTACCTTGAGCCACAGTACCACTTCTGGTTTTCTAGTGGTTAATTAGAGATAAAAGTCTCACAGAGTGCTAGGTGCTGGTGGCTCATGCCTGTAATCCTAGCTACTCAGGAGGCTGAAATCTGAGGATCACAGTTCAAAGCCAGCACATGTAGGAAAGTCTGTGAGACTCTTATCTCCAATAAACCACTAGAAAACCAGAAGTGGCGCTGTGGCTAAAGCGGTAGAATGCTCGCCTTGAGCTGAAGAGCTGAGGGACAGTGCCCGGGCTTGGAGTTGAAGCCCCATAACCGACAAAAAAAAAAAAAAAAGTCTCACAGACTTTCCTACCTGGGTTGGCTTCAAACCACAATCCTTAGATGTGAGCCTCTGAGTAAGCCAGGATTACAGGTGTGAGCCACTAGCCCCTAGCTCTTATATAAAATAATAACAGCCAGCACTGGTGGCTCATGCCTGTAAGCTACTCAGGAGGCTGAGATCTTAGGAATGTAGGTCTCAGAAGGAAAGTCCTTGAGACTCTTATCTCCAATTAAGCACCAAAAGAGAGCCAGAAGTGGAGCTGTGGCTCAAGTGGTAGAGGGCTAATATTGAGTAAAAAAGCCCAGGGACAGTGCCCAGACCCTGAGTTCAAGCACTATGATCAATAGTAAATCAACCAACCAATCAATCAATAATATATAATAGGTGTTTTTTAAAAAAAAAAAGATGTTACCTTCTGACCTGAAACCCCATAAATGCCAATCAATTCTTCAATGCCATCTAGTACAAGTATACATGGCTTTAAACTGATGGAGGCCATGAACATTTCTACAAGAAGTGAAAAGACCAAGACATTTGAGTCTTCACTAAGAAAATCCATTTCAAGATCAGTACCTACAATAGAGAAATTTAGAGTTGAGCAACTACAATATGGAAAAAGATCACTCGCATTTTCTAATATCATGTTAGAGAGAATTGGATGAGAAGAAAAAGAAGCCATGTAATTGGTGACATTTCTGTATCTTAGCACTGGGTATTTAAGGAACATGGTCACTCCCCTACGCCTCCAACCATGCTCATGTACTGTCTGACCACACTGGCCCTCTTTTCCTTCTAGCTCATTCTGCTCTATTTCCAGCCTCAGAGCTATTGTATTACTTTAGCTTTCCCTGTAGCCTGCAATGTTCTTTCCTCTGACTATCATCTGGCTGGCCTCATCTTGTCAGTGGGATGTCCCCAGCTAGTGCAGTAGAGGAGATGGCTGGCTCCGGTCCCGTAGAAGCTCAGGCTACCACCTAGAACTGCCTCATTCCTCAGACGGCAACGTATTTGCAAAGAGCATGTGAGTGAGGCTCATCTGCGTATCGTGTCCAGGCCAATGCTCAGAAGGACAGGTGGGCCTTTTGCATCCTTCCCTTTCCTCCAACCAAAAGTTGAGGGCTGTGAGACACTGGGGGTGAGATAGAAAGAACTGCATGGAGCAAAGATCTTCTATATCTAACTAGCAAGTAAAAATCAGCTTCCGTTTGAGAGTCACTGAAATGGGATTTAGGTGACATAGCAGCTACAGAGACATGGTCCCCCGACCCCTCACCTGCACAGCCCTGTCACCTTCCTGCATTCGCTGGCACAGCATTTAGCATTATGTGATAATTTGCTTATTAATTTGCTGCCTTTCTCAATCAGAACATTATTATATCCATAGTTTATTTACCTCACTTTCACTAATATTCACTGAACCCAGAAGAGTACTGAAGAGCCAACCTATCAGTAAGGGAATCAGCAAAGGAACTTGCTTTGATAATAGTGAACTGGAGGAGATGTAATTAAGATGCTGGGGAGGAGGGGGCACTGAGAAATGCTACTCCTGAGCTACTTGCCTGACTCTCTCCCTCCTCATGTCCCTCTCTTGGTGAGACATGCCCCTCAGTAGATGAATGGATCAAGAAAATGTGATAGATAGATAGATAGATGGAGGAAGGAAGAAAAAGAGGAGAGGGAAGAGGAAGGGAAAGAAGAATGGAGAGATGGGGGGAGGGGAAAGGGGAGAGAAGAAAGAGGAAAGGGAGAGAAAATTTGGCTGAGTGGAGAAGGGGTAGACACATGGACAAGACAGCATGAAATTGACATTAGACCTAGTGAACACTAGCCACTCAGGGGTGGCTACTTGGCCAAGCACTTTCTGATTGAACATGAAGTCTAGCTCCATTACCGTGGTTTTCGTGCTGCAGCTCTGTGATGAAGTAATGGATCACAGACATGATGTCACTGCTTTCTGAGGTACTCCCCACAAAATACGGGATCATCAGTACGTTCGGATATTTGTTTTTGAAAGAATTCACCCAGCTGGCAATCAGAGTGGACTTCCCACAGCCACGTTCTCCAGACAAGAGCAGAATAGACTTGTAAGCTGGAAAAGAATTTACTCTGGAAAATAAAGGGGTAAAATATAGTCAAGAATATTTACCAAGGGAAAGATAGAGGTAGGAGGAAGAAAAAAAGGAGGGGAGGCCAAATTTTTTCTTCCATATATTTTTCTTCTCAGAGAAAGTTCTAGTCTCAACTTTGGCTTTTGTTGGTTTCAAAGAAGTCATTCACCTGCTTGCTTTGGCTTTGTCTTGTGTAAAATTTGAGAGTAGAGAGAGAAACAGTAGCTTTGGAAAATAATCCAGCTACACAGATCCTACGGTTATCCAATGTAAACCTAGAGCATGTCAGAGGCTCAAAACCTGGTAGAGGAAACACCATTACCCTAGCCCATTGCCCTGCATGCCATCACTAGGCTAGTCTTTGGTGTAGCATAGTGAAAGGTGATCTGAAACTGAACCATTTATAGACCAGGAATTCCTGTCAATCTTGATGATTACAAGTGAGAAATCTAATTAAATCACTGTCGCTGTTGCTGACTCAACTAAGAAGTAGATTGAGACTTTCCCAAGGTGTTAGCTGGTAGCAGTGAATAATGTGGTGTCTACAAAATGGAAAAAGCAAGATATAACTTGTCTTGTCTTGTTGAATTTTTAGTGAAAAGCTTCCACATAGGCAGAAGAGTCTTGGATCCATGAATATGGTAGCATAGAGGCCCTAGCCTGTGCCCTACACAATTGTGAGTCCATAAATATGTGTCTAGAGATTTTTCACTGATATGGGTACCATGAGAAGAGAGGTTTCCAGGCTTATCCTATTAACTATCAGGTAGTTACTCAGTAGCAAAGCTACTGACCAAAGTGGTTGAATAAGTACTTGAAGGAATGGAACAAAAAGTATGAACCTGACTACAGATTCAGCACAACAAGATCATTAGTTTGAAAACTCCTTAAAACAGAAACCCTAGCCAGGCACTAGTGGCTCACACCTTAATCCTAGCAATTCAGGAGACTGAGGTCTAAGAATCATGGTTCCAAGCCTGCCTGGCAGGAAACTCTATGACTCACCACCAATAAGACACAAGTGGAGTGGTGGCTCAAGTGGTAAAACATGAGCCTTGAGCAAAAACAACAAAGGGACGCTGACTCATGCCTGTAATGCTAGCTATTCAGAAGCTGAGATCTGAGGATTGCATTTTGAAGCCAGCCCAGGCAAGTAAGTCTGTGAGGCTCTTATCTCCAATAAAGTATTTTTTTAAAAAGCCTAGAAGTAGAGCTATGGTTCAAGTGGTAGAGCACTAGCCTTGAGTACAAAGAGGCTCAGGGACAGTGCCCAAGCCCTGAGTTCAAGCCCTAGGACCAGCACATAAAAAGAAAGAGAAAGGAGCTAGAACAAGAGAGAGGTAAGAGAGGTCCCATGCCCACCCCCCCACCTGCCCAGGGCTTAGAATCTTGAAGACAGAGGAGAAAGTATGTTATATACTAGAAAAGCTTTGCAAAAAAAAAAAAAAAAAGCTAAGTAACTGCTAATAATGAAATTCTACTGAGGGGTAGGATTTACAGGCTCTTTCTTAGAGGAAGGGAGTGAGTAAAGGTAGCCATTCCAAATTTGGGAGATCACATTTCCCAAACTCAGGCTGTTTTGCTTGAACCCCATAAAAAAGCTTATTAAGTCAGTCACTGGTAGCTCATACCTGTAAATCCTAGCTACTCATGAGACTGAGATGTGAAATTAAGATTTAAGGCCAGGCTGGGTAGACAAATTGGAGACACTCTTATCTCCAGCTAACCAGAAAAAGTGTAGAGAGATGGCCAAGTAAGCCCACAAAGGCCCAGTATGAGCGCACGCACATGCACATATACACTCATGCGCGTACACACACAGAGGCTTGGAATTTCTTGACATCTTACCTGAGAACAGAGTCTAGGCTAGACACTGATGGTGAAGAGTTAGGTTCAAGTTCCACGTCCTTTAAGGCAAATTTTTCCAACATGTCAAAGATCCTGTTTGCTTCCTTAGAAGTAACAAACACTTGCTTGCATTTCTCAGTAAATTCTTCATGATAGAAACGTTCAAAGCTGTGCTTGTAGTCTTTATAGTCAAAAAGATAAGTGTTAAGATCTTACATTTGCAGTTCCACATTTTCCAATTGTACTTGGTTGTTATAAATGACCAGAAAGAAGTCTGCCTTCCTTCTCTGATCACATCATATTTAACAGTTCATTCTAGACAACACTCAAAGAAAACCCTAGTCCAGCCATTTGACTTTGTACTATTCAGAAAAGGAATTTAAGTGGGAGTCAGTAATTTCAAGACCCCAGAATGACAAAGGCAAAACATGTTACTTTTTCAAATTGTTAACTATGTGTCTAATGTTATCTAATTTGATTGGCTTGTGGAGTTTAGCGGCATTTTAGGATAAGATGACTTACTATGGCTGACAACAGCGGGGTAGAACTGCCGCTCTGTCTTTGAGCAGCAAGCCCCTAACACACGGGTAAAATAAGGGAGAAGGTCAGACAACTGGATGATCTTTGAGGCTCCTTCAAGTTCCAATGTATTGTAAATCCAAATTTGATGCCTAATTAAAGCTGAACTGTCAAAATGCTCCCTTGACTTTGGAAACACCGTTCACCAGGTTTGTTTTTTGTGAGGAAATTGAAGGCTATCATCAACAAATAGGGAAAGAAATGTTTGTCTGGTGGGTTTTCAACAGACACACCTCATAGCTCTGTGATTAACCAGCTATACCATGGTTTAAGTTAGGGCCAGAATAGATTGGAGAATCTCAGTCTAGCCAAGGTCAACTTCAAGCTTTAATATCATCAAGATAATTTGGGAATGGCCTTATAGTTCAACAGGTCTCTTGAGTTAATCTTAACCTTTACTCTTTAAACTCGGGCCTCTCCAAGGACATTAGAAATATTTCTCTTTTTATCTTTTGGTGGTACTGGGATTTTAATTCAGGACCTTTCACTATCTAGGTTGAAATTTGAGGATCAAGATTTGAAGCCAAGCCTGGAGCTGGTGGCTCATTCCTGTAATCCTAGCTACTCAGGAGGCTGAGCTCTGAGGATCGAGGTTCAAAGCCGTGAGACTCTTATCTCCAATAATAAGAGTCTTATCTCCAATAATAAGAGTCCGTGAGACTCTTATCTCCAATAATCCACTAGAAAACTGGATGTGGCGCAGTGGCTCAAGCAGTAAAGTACTTGCCTTAAGCTGAAGAGCACAGGAACAGCACCCAAGCCCAGAGTTCAAGCCCCACGACCAACAACAACAACAACAACAAAAGATTTGAGGCCAGCACTAGATTATTACTCTACCACTTAAACCACATTTCCCAATCCTCTTTGTGTTAGTTATTTTTCCAGATAGTCTTGCATTTTTGCCCTAGCCAGCCTTGGATTGCAATCCTTCCACTTATGCCTTCTGAACTGCTAGGATTATAGTTATATACCACCAAGTTCAGCTTGTGTGTTGAGATGGTATCTCACTAACTTTTTTCCCAGTTTGCACTCAAACACTGATCCTTCCAGTCTCTGCCTTCCAAGTAGCTTTGATTACAGCCATGAGTCACAATGCCCAGCTTTGACACTATACATATTTCTAAGAGTTAAGAATAGTGTCAAGTGAGTATCAATGTTGCATTAGTTTGTCCTTTGTCCTGCTGTTTCTGTGATTCCCTTTCCCTTCCACAGATCAAATAATCTTATATACAAGACACAAGGTACAGAAAACTAAGAGAAACAAAAAAGAAAAAAACTACATACAGATCTTAGGGCTCATTTCCCTAACATCACCTTATCTGACCTTTTCTGCTTGACTCAGACATATACTAGATATTGCAAATAAGGGAAACCATGGGACCTATGTTTCTTTGGGCCTGGCTTACTTCACTTAATATTAATTTTTTCCAAGTCTTTCCATTTCCTAACAAATGGGGCAATGTCATTCTTTCTGATGAAGGCATAGAATTCCATTGTGTATATATGTATTCAAATGTTTTTTTTTTACTTTCATGCGATTGTTTCTAACACATTTATAAGATTATTTCTTTGTTGCTTTGTATGTCCCTCCCACAGTATAACCCTTGCTTTCACTGTATTTGATGTTGGTATAATTTCTGGAGGGGAAGGGGAAAAACAAATCGTTTAAATAGGGATACAGGTGGACCCATTGCAACAATGAGATGTACAAGTCGTTATGTCGAAAACCAACTTTACAACTTTGGTGCGGGAGCGGGGGAGGGGAGTGGGGAGGATTGGGTGGGGGGATAGGGAGAGGATGGGAAGGGATGGGAAGGGCAAACAAAGGAGGAGGCTACAATGCTTGATAAGAAATGTACTCATTATCTTGCCCATGTAATTGTAACCCCTCTGTACAGTATTTTCACAATTAAAAAAAAACAATGCAACCTACTTTTCTTTGACCTTGGCTTACTAATGCAACATTGATATTCAATTGATACTATGTTGGATATGAGCCTTACAACCTGGGGGGGGGGCGGGTAAGAGGGGGAAGTGGGAGAAAATGAGGGATGAGGTAACAGTATTTAAAAACAAATATACTTAACCAGGCAAAGGTGGCTCACACCTGTAATCCTAGCTACTCAGGAGGTTGAGATGTGAGGATCACAGTTCAAACCCAGCCCAGGCAAGAAAGTCTGTGAGACTCTTATCTCCAGTTAACCCCAGAAAACCAGAGGTGGCGCTGTGGCTCAAGTGGTAGAGCACTTGCCTTGAGCTGAAGAGCTGATGGACAGCGCCCAGGCCCAGAGTTCAAGCCCCATACCCACCACCACCAACAACAACAAAAATATACTCATTACCTTACTTATGTAACTGTAACCTCCCTGCTAATCACCTTTTCAATAAAGATTTTAAAAATAAATTAATTAAAGGGTTAAGAATATAAACTGATATGAGGCATGGTAGCCCGTACTTATAATCTCAGCACTTGGGAGAATGAGGCAAGAAGATCCTAAGAGTTCTGGGTCAGCTTGTTCTATATGATAAAAATATGTCTACACACACACACACACTCACACACACAGTATAACTTTACGTTGCCTACCAGGACTACTGGCTTCCCAAATGGCTTAAGACATTTATCCCATAGATGGCTATTAAGAACAAAGTATAAAGGACTTAGGGATATTGCTCAATGGTAGAGTGTCCATTCGACTAGTGTGTTCAAGGCCCTGGGTTCTATCCCCAGCACCACAAAATCAAATAAATAGACAGATGCATAGATAGAGACAGATGAGAGATACAGAGAAAGAGATAGAAACAGAGAGAAAAAGAGAGACAGAGAGAGATAGGTTAAGAGTATAGCTCCAGAGTAGAACACTTGCTTAGCATCTGTGAGGCCCTGGTTCAACCCTCAGTGCCACAAAAAAGTCTAAAACAAGGAATCATCTGTTAAAACTGAAAATCAAAGGCTAAAAAAAAAAACTACTATTGTGAAGTAACCTTAACCTAAATAGACAGAAAGGTCTGATTCTTATACACATGGTTGAGTATTAATCAATAAATATGATAAAGAGTGTGATTTGTAAAAGAATTTATCAAGTATTTCAGACTCAGCTTCTCGAACCCATTTGTTACCTGTTTACAGTCGTCATTGACTGAGTAACCACTATGTGCCAAGCACCGGTTTTAGGTGCTTTGCATGTGTTATTCCACTCAAGGGAATTACTATTAACTATTAGAATACACTAAATCTTATCAATATTAAATAATTTGCACAAATCCACACAGCTTGGAAGTGAAATAACTAGGATCTAGGGTCATGTGGAGTCAGATTTTAAAGCTATAAGGCTAGACTTGGTTTGGCTACAACACGCGTTGTCTCTACCCTGGATCCAGTAACCCTGGTACCAGCACTAGATTATCATGTGGGCTCTGCTCATCCCCACTCTCTATTCACGCTGTCCACCTGTGGCTGTACAGGTAGCCCATGCATCAGAGCATCCCATTCACGTGGTCCCAGTGACCAAACCAAAGGAGCACAAAGGGCCCAGCTATTCTGGGCCTCCTCTGAGCTCCCTAACTTCCTAAACCATTTCCCAGGACTCATCAGCTGTTATGATCAGTTTTGAAAAGATTCAAAATGCAGAGAAGTATATATTACAGAAATGTGGTAATTATTTTTTTCTTGGTGCCAGTCTTGGAGCTTGAACTGAGGGCCTAAGTGCTATCTCTAAGCTTCTTTCTTTCCTCTCTCTCTCTTTCTTCCTTTTTTTGCTCAGAGCTAGCACTTTTATCACTTGAACCACAGCTCTACTTCCAGCTTTTTTTTTTTTTTTAGTGGTTAATTGCAGGTAAGTCTCATGCACATTCTGGGCCAGGCTGACTTTGAACCACAATCTTCAGATCTCAACCTGATCAGTAGCTAGGGCTACAGGCATCAGCCACCAGTGTCCAGCTCATTTAAAATATTTAAGGAGTATTTTTAATCGTTTATAAGTTCCTCTCCTAGAAAGACACATAAACCATTAACTTGATATTGGTAATGGGGTTAACACTCTCATTCTCTCTCTCTCTCTCTCTCTCTCTCACTCGTGCTCTGTTTACTAACCTTTATTTTCAGTTATCACACTGAAAGGATAAAGTTTTTCGATCACAATCAACCAGTCCTTCAAGACCAGCTCACCCAACTCATGGAGCTCTTTATAAAATCTGACAGGGAGCCCTTTGCTAATGATCTTGGCCTTCAGCTTGCCAATCTTTAATTTTTCTTCTTCATCTGCCAGAGAAACTGAAGCCAGCTTCTCCTTCTCCTCAACAAAAGACTTCAGCAGCGTGTTCCCAGTCCGGAAGTAAAAATACTGAAACTGAGATTCCTTCCGGAAGGCTGCTTGGATGATTTCAAACTCTATCAGACTGCAGTTGGGAGTTTCCAGAACCCAAGGATAACCATTTTTTGCAGCTACATAGAGATTCTGTTCTTCTCTGGATAAACTTGCCAAGTCTGTTGCTTTGGAGAACAGGAAAGGTGTATAGTCAGGAAGGAATTCTCCATATGTGTGCCCCAGCAGGCAAATGAAAAAGGGAAAGCAGTTGTTTACGTTGTCGAGACAGAGCTTCAGATACTGGGAGTGGAGACAAGAATACTGTCTGAACAGGTTATCTGGGAAAGGTTTCAAGGCCTTCACAGCTGACAACCTCAGGTCCACAGCTTTGAAGTACGTGCCCCTGGAACTGCAGATTTCATTGAGCTGAGGGAAGATGTTGTTTGCCAAAAAATCTCTTTCTTCTTCAAAATCATTCATTGTTGAGCAGATATATGGACAAATGGGTTTATGATATTTTAAAATCCATCGGGTGTCATCTCTCTCCATGTTCATTTCCCTTGGCGTAGAGAAGATATCACGCTTCCAACAGAATGAGTTCCTGGTGCATCAGGCCACCAACTACCACTGCTTCTAAGTCTTCCTGCTAATTATTTGCTCTGAACAGACAGAAATATTCCACCCAAATTATTTTTCTTATACTGTCATTTGAGCATTAGAGATGCCAGCCACTTCAGATCACAGTTGAAGAGCAATCTAGCTTTAAGTCAGAACTGAAAAAGGGAAAACATACTCATTTTAGGATTATGGGCAGTCCATGTGACTTGTGTTCCCCCAAAGCTTTTGCTGAGGAACTAAGAACCACAAATTAGTGGGTACTGGACACAGTCTTCCCTTCTTCTCCTATACCCCCAGTCCACTACCCAAGGTCCTTGGGCAGTGGCTACTTCTACTCCCATATAAATGTAGCAATTAGGGCTGGGAAGGTGGCTCAGTGGTAGAGCGCTTGCCTTGCATGCATGAGACCCTGGGTTCGATTCCTCAGCACCACATAAGAAAAAAGAAAAAAAAGCCAGAAGTGATGCTGTGGCTCAAGTGGTAGAGCGCTAGCCTTGAGCTGAAGAGCTGAGGGATAGCACCCAGGCCCAGAGATCAGGCCCCACAACCGGACCCAAAAATAAATAAAAAAATAAATGTAGCAATTAGGCATGCTGATTTGTGATCTACAAAGAGAAAGGCAGATCTAGAAAAGGATCTGTGTATTTAGAAGAATAAGCCAAGGAAGATTCAAGATTGTGACCAGAAGCAAGAATGACAACAGGGGCTGGGAAGGTGGCTCAGTGGTAGAGCACTTGCCTTGCACGCATGAGGCCCTGGGTTCAATTCCTCAGCACCACATAAGCAAAAAGAAAAAAGCCGGAAGTGGCGCTGTGGCTCAAGTGGTAGAGCACCAGCCTTAAGCTGAAGAGCTAAGGGACAGCGCTCAGGCCGAGAGTTCAGGCCCCACGACCAGACCAAAAAAAAAAAAAAAAAAAAAGGAATTGAATAAAAACTTAAAAAAAAAAAGAATGACAACAGCTATAAAGTTGAGGTCAGCACAGGAAAAACAAATCCAAATAATTTGACCATTCAGGACCAAGAAGGCAGCTGGCAGCTGAGAGGAAGTCAGGTTCTAAGCACCTGATAGGTTATAGTGATTTTTTAAAAAATCTTAAATTGTACAGGCACATACAACATTTCATTTACCTACATGTGCTAGAATTGAATTCCAATGAACTAATGGAAAAGTACACACCCTCCAACAATGACATAGCTATGCTTGCAAGAGCTATTCAAAAAAAAGAAACTACCTAGTTAATGAGTCTTTTTTCCTTGACAAATGCATTTCCACACCCAATGTTGTTTTTATGTGTATTGCTTTCAATTGTAGGGAAACATGTTATAAGCATAAGAGTACTTTTTTATTAAAATCTCCTGACAACAATGTAACACAATACTTTTAGAAAATAATACAGTAGTATTTTTTTTTAAGTTTTAACCATTTTTGGCTAGATGCTACTGGCTCAAGCCTGTAATCCTAGCTGCTCAAGAGGCTGAGATGTGAGGATCATGGTTTGAAACCAGCCTGGGGAGAAAACTCCATTCATGAAACTATTATCCCCAATTATCCAGCAAAACGCTGGAAGTGAAGATGTGTCTCAAGTGGTAGAGCACCGGCCTTGAGAAAAAAAAAAAAAACAAGTGAAAGCTTGAGGCTCTGAGGTCAAGTCCTAATACTGGCATAAAAAAAAATAATAATCCGGGCTGAGAAGGTGGCTCAGTGGTAGAGCGCTTGCCTTGCATGCTCGAGGCCCTGGGTTTGATTCCTCAGCACCACACCACATAAGCAAAAAGAAAAAAGCCGGAAGTGGTGCTGTGGCTCAAGTGGTAGAGCACTAGCTTTGAGCTGAAGAGCTGAGGGACAGTGCCCAAGCCCAGAGTTCATGCCCCACGACCGAACCCAAAAAAAAAAAATTAATCCTTTTGAATATTTCTCGGCTTCACAGGTGAAGAAACAAGAGACTGAGACTTACAAAAGACCTCAAGATAGATTATCAGGTCCATGTAAATATTCCTACTGGGCATGGTGGTGAACATCTGTAATCCTAGCACTTGGTAGGCTGAGGCAGGAGAATACTGATTAGTTCAAGGTAGCTTGAGCTACATTGTAAGTTCTAGGCCAGCTTTCCTAAGTTTTCATTTAAATTAAATGTTAGAAGCCTCAGCACTCAATGTTTGCCATTCTTATTAGTATATCTGTTAATGCCAATATTACAACTGCAAATGTTTGACTTAGTACTTTGCTTTGTAATAAAGCAGCCTCAAGCTAGCATGTGCTCAATGCCACACTACATAACCATAGACTCAAAAGCATCTATGAGCTGGTCAAAAGTTCCACTGCCTTTTCCAGGAATTCTCTCAATGTTTTAAAGTTAACAAATATTTTTTGGAAATACAGTTTCATTTGTGTTCTGCTATGATCCAAAGTCCTATGCTGTTTAACGGATCTGCCTTTCTATGGCAGACTCTAGGGAGATGCTTGTTTTTAATTATTTGAACATAAAATACGAATTACAAGATTAGGTGAATTTACTTTATGTCACGTTGAAACTTTGATGCATGTAGGATCTATAGCACTCACAAGGTTCTGGTGGCTCATACCTGTAATCCTACATACTCAGGAGGCTGAGATCTGAGGATTGCTGTTCAAAGCCAGCTAGGTGAGACTCCTATGTCCAATTAACCACCAAAAATCTGTAAGTGGAGCTGTTGCTCAAGTGATAGAGCATTAGTCCTGAGCAAAAAAGCTCTGGGACAGCATCCAGGCCCTGAGTTTAAGCCCTAGGACTCTCTCTTTCTCTCTCTCTCTCTAACACAGACACACAGACACAGACTTAGAGATTTTAGAAGATTCAATGTGTTATCCTTTATAATACGTTGTTTTTTGTTTTGTCAGTCGTGGGGCCTGAACTCTGGGCCTGGGCACTGTCCCTTGGCTCTTCAGCTCAAGGCTAGTGATCTACCACTTGAACCACAGAGCCACTTCTGGCTTTTTCTGTTTATGTGGTGCTGAGGAATCGAACCCAGGGCCTTGAGCATGCAAGGCAAGCACTCTACCACTGAGCCACCTTCCCAGCCCCATACTCATTTCTTAAGCAAATGTGGTATGTGTTGGAACAAGAAAGGAGAGACAAATTGCAGTTAAAAACTGGTCAAAAAGAGAATATAATATAGCTGTGACTATATACAATATTTGGAAATTATTTATAACTCCATTGCCCCAAGTCAGGTTCTGTGGTTTAGAAACACTGGCCATCACACAAACTGCAAGAAAACAAACTAAAGATTAAGATGAGAAAATAAATTCGAGTTCTTTAATGTCTTAACTGTGACTTCTGTGTGTGCAGTGTAGATCTACATCTATCACCATATCTTACTATGTGGGTCTGTTTGAAACAGCACAACCTCCTTCCCAGAACTGGAGAGGCTGGTTAAGATGCTTGGGAAACTATTTAAAGATACAAGATAACTATGAAAAGACAAAACTTTAGAGAGAAAGTTAGAGAAGTGAGCCCTACATTCTGTCATTACTGGTTTTCCTCTCCAAGTATTTACTGATCCTTTTCCTTCTCCTCCTCCTCTGCTTCCTCTTCTTTTTCTTCTCTCCCCTCACCCTCCTCCTCTTCTTCATCTTCAGTACCCTTTGAACTCAGAGTATGCTTGCAAGACTAACACCCTACCACTTGAGCCATACTTCCAGCCCAACTATTTGCTGATTCTTTTTGTGTGTGTACCAGTCCTAGGGCTTGAACTCAGGGACTGGGCACCATCCCTGAGCTTTTTTAGCTCAAGGATAGTGCTCTACCACTTGAGTCACAGCTCTACTTCAGCTTTTTTGGTAGTTAATTAGAAAAAAGTTTCAAGAGCTCTCCTGCCTGAGCTGGCTACAAACCAATTTCTCAGGCCTCAGCCTCCTAAGTAGCTAGGATTACAATTGTAAGCCACAGATGTAGGCTATTTGCTGATTTTTTTTTTTTTTTTGCTAGTCCTGGGGCTAGAACTCAAGGCCTGGGCACCATCCCTGAGCCTCTCTATGCTCAACACTCTACCACGTAAGCCACAAAGCTACTTCTGGCTTTTTCTGTTTATATGATACTGAGGAATCAAACCCAGGGCTTCATGCATGCTAGGCAAGCACTCTACCACTAAGCCACATTCCCAGGCCTATTTGCTGATTCGTAAGCTACACAGACCCAGTATTTTTAGAAAGGGACAATAAATCAAAACTCAAAACCTCATAGTGCTAGACACCTGTGAGTCAATAAATGCTGTTAAGCTATTAAATAATGCTTAAAGAATGGCACATGATTCAAGTTTCTTTCAATATTCTAGTTTTCCTAAACTATCATCATGTCTACTGCCATAGTTTATGTTGGAACTATGTCACTGTTAACATTATTTTCCAGGTTATTTTGAGTTTTGCTTCCAGTATGAATGCAATTGTTACAACTTCCATTGCTATATTTTTTATAAGATTAAAGCAAGACTATTGACTTTTATTGATTTATCTTAAGTCAATAAATTACCATTCTATACCTTTTTTAAAACTGGGGTCTCAAGTTTTTGGACTGCACAGTAATGTGACTAGTAAGAAAGAACTTTAGAATAAGGAGCTTCAATTTTTTAAAAATTTGTGCCACACTCCTAAAGAGTATAGGATAGTATTAAACAACCTGGGTATCTCTGTCTGGTTCCTCATTCTTTCTGAAATGGTTTTCAATGTTAGTGCTTTGTTGTCTAGAAGAACAGTTACTGTTAGTTTTCTTAGATTAAGGTAAAATTTATATGCTAAAAATTCACCCTGTTAAGTATACAGTTAGATGAGTTTTTTGTTTTTTTTGTTTTTTTTTTTTTGGATCAGTCATGGGGCTTGAACTCTGGGCCTAAGTGCTGTCCCTGGGTTCTTCAGCTCAAGGCAAGCGCTCTACCACTTGAGCCAAGCACCACTTCCTGTTTCCTGGTGGTTTATTGGAGGTAAGAGTCCCATGGACTTTTCCTGCCCTGGCTGGCTTTGAACTGAGATCCTCAGATCTCAGCCCCCTGTGTAGCTAGGATTACAGGCTTGAGCCACTGGTGCCCAGCTAAGTTGGATGAGTTTTAACTACCAC